AACAAATCCTCATCAGAAAGAAAAAAAATCAAATTTCCCTTCAATTTAAAAAAAAAAGGTGTTCAACTCTAAATAATTATGTGCTTGTTTCATTTTTTGCATTTCATATTCTTGCCTGAATTGGTTGGACTCTTTTGTTTGCTGGAAGTATTCACTGTTGAACTATCCATCTATGATCCAAATGAAAGAAAGTCAGTTACAACAAATCTCAAGAGCCTCCCAGAAAAAAGAAAAAAGGAGGGAAAAAAAAGAGTAGAATAAAGGCAACCAATCACCTGAATCAAACTTGATTTCTGTGTGGGAAGCTGAACCTGTCTAGCCTCCAGATTGTTTGGGAGCAGCTGCGGTCCCATCTGGTATGGCTTGAATCCTATCTGGCAGAGCAAGGACCAAATCATTACGGGCAGCAAGTTCTTCTCTCGAAAGCCCCTTAACCTGAAAGTAAGATTTATTATTGATGCAACATCTGTCAAATGGTTAAACAAATCTAATAGGCTTTAGAAGCTTAAGACAAAGGCCATGGGTACCACGGTTATCAAGACACTTTTTCAGTCAAAAGGAAGGGGCCCATGGAAGTTTTGAGAGTCTCCAATTATAATAATGTGAAGTTTGTTTGGACTTAGCTGGACAAATTTACATGTAATTTAAATCCCAAGAGGTTAGCCGAGCAGTAAAGAGGATAAGATTCAAGATCTCGAGTTCGAGTAACTCTAAACGGCTACTGGAGATTTGCCTGGTCGTTAATTAAAGAGCCCTAAAATTAGTTGAGGTGCATGCAAGCTGGGCCAGACCCCCAGTTATAAAAAAAAAAAAAAAAAATTAGCTGGCCTAATATAGTCGATCAGTGTTGCTGAAAAGTATCATCAGTGCCCTAAACCACTCGATCCACCACCTCCTTGAACCAATCGATCAAAGCTCCATCCAGTCAATCCAGTCGAAGCTCCATCTAGTCGAAGATCAAGGCTCCATCAGTCGATCGAACAGTCGAACACCCAGACGACTTCAAAAAGCCTCTCTCTCTCTCTCTCTCTCCCTCTCCCTCGCGCTCGCGATCGTGATCGCGATCGCGATGGATGGCTTCGTTTTTCTCTCCCTCTGTCTCTGTCGTTCGTCTCTGTTGATTCTCTATTCGTATCTATCTATATATAATAATAATAATAATAGTTTATATATAATAATAATAATAGTTAAGGAACTGAATAATAAATAATAATAACTATTATTATGATAACTATAATAATAACTATTATTATTATATATTACATAACATATAATATATTTATAAGATAATATATACTTATATATATTAATAAAAAAAATAAAATAAATTAATTGAAACACATTATTTAAAAAATAGAATAAATAAATAAAATAATTAATGTATATTAAAATAAAAATATTTATAAAAAAATTAAAAAATTTCCCGTGTCTCCTGTCGTGTCTGTGTCCCCATTTTTAAAAAATTGTCGTGTCCTGTGTCCGAATTATAATAAATATATTTTTAAAAAAAAAACTATTTAACATATCCCCGTACCCGTATCCAAATTTGGATACATATCCACGTATCCTTAATTTTTAATTTTGAAGTGTCCGACGCCTAGATACGCACCCGCACTCGATACCCGTACCCGAGTCCGTGTAACTTCGATTATCACAACATCGGGGGAGATTGATGGGGATGTGGCCTATAGGATTAAGGCGGGATGGTGTAAGTGGAGAAGTGCATTTGGGATACTGTGTGATAAACGAATACCCGCTAGACTTAAAGGTAAGTTCTATAAAACGGCTATTAGACCAGCGATATTGTATGGAACGGAGTGATGGGCAACCAAGAAACAACATGTAGATAAGATGAGTGTGGCTGAGATGAGAATGTTAAGGTGGATGTGTGGCAAGACTAGACAAGATAGAATTAGGAATGAGTGTATTCGGGAATGGGTAGGAGTAGCACCGATAGAAGATAAGTTGAGAGAAAATCGATTGAGATGGTTTGGTCATATTCAACGGAGACCAACAGATGCAATAGTGAAGAGATGTGATGCTGTAATGGTAGATGGAAGTGTTAGGAGACGGGGTAGGCCTAGATTAACGTTGGTTAACGTTGTAAATAGATATATGGATTTACTTAATTTGACTAACGAAATGACCTTTGACAGGGCCGCGTGGAGAAGAAGGATTCATGTAGACGACTCCATTCAATAGGACTTAAGGCTTAGTTTTGGTTTGGGTTTTTTGGTTAGACATGGCTAAGAAGTAATGGAAAGCAAAATGAATGTTGGGTATGTGTCTAAAATTAAGATTTTTTTTTAAAATTTTTTAATTATGGACAATGAAAAAGAGTATCAGACATTATGGACATTGAAAAAGAGTATCGGACATGTGTTTGAGGAGTGTGTCCGTGACCTTATTAGTAGTGTTCCGTGCTTCTTAATTGATAAGTATTGAACACTAACCACTCATGCCTTTCCACACTTGTGACCTGTTCCCCTAATTTTCTATGTATTTCAGTTGAGGGAAGACAACTATTTCTTGTAATCTCTTGTAACCTTTCTGATCATAGTGAAAATTGTAATAGCTGTGAAGGTAGCCCTAGATTGGAGTGAACTGTGTAAATCTTGTGTTCTTCGTGTGTGCATGTCATGTATCTTTCTTGTACGTTTGTTCATTTATGTGTTTTCACTTCACCCATCTTGGTTAGATGTTATGGATTCCCTAACACTTTCCCCCATCAAAATAGAAAAAGACGAAAACATGTATCAATTTGATGTAATTTATAGCTTTAAGTGATTCTAGTATGAGTTTCATTTTCTGTTAAGTGTGACTATCCATTGGATGGTAAGAGTTCTATAAAATTAGAACTGTCTGTCAAAAAATTTTAGCTTTTAAATCAATATATTCAAAAACAAAACCTAATTGAATATCCTGTACTAATGCAGGAAAGCTTGCAGGGTAATAGGTGAGTTACTCATGAAAGAATACCTTGGCTTCTGAAGTAGGACTCAAAAGCTGATGATTCTCCTGCTCATTGTTGTATCGTTCAAGTATTGATCTCATGCTGATAAGGTAAAGTCAGAATATTAGCTGCTCAGTTTGTCAATATTTACTTATGAACTTATAATGCAAGAACTTCATTGCATTATATCATATGAAGAGGTCATTAGTAACGGACAGAAAAATCTCAACATTTTTTGTTTTTTAATTGCTTACATTTCTAATTACTAGATCATAGTTGTGTGGCATTTGTGCATGCAAGGAAAAAACTATTGAACAATGAGTTTGGTTTTTTTCCCTGAAAGAAATAAAAAGTAAAGCAAAGAAATGTGTTGTGCTTGAATGATGGTCATTCAAAATAATATTGATTTTTCTCTGCTGGAAAAACAACAAAAAATATTGTTTACTTTCATAGTGTAAACTGTACAATCTACTGAAGAATTACCAGCTTGTATGTTTTAAACAACATAAGCCTGGCCAAGAGTTCCTTCTATCAAGATTGTCACTGGGGAGGAAAGGATGTAAATCTGAATTTAATGGCTATTGACTCGAGCTCATCGATGTATTTAAGTTTATTTTTTTCTTTCATTTTTCATTCTCTCTCTCTCTCTCTCTCTCGGCAAATAGGGAGGGCTAGAGTTGCAGTATGTTAGAGCCAAGATGCAGTGAGAAGTAGGCAACAGTTCCTACAGTTTAATAGCCAAGTGCAGGTAAAGAAGTTAGTCAAAGAGAATAGGATGTGCTTGGGTATTTGGAATATCGGAACAGTAATGGGAAAAAAGGGATGGATATAGGCTATGTTTGGTTGGAGGATTTGGTGTGAGAAATGGAAAGGGAAAAGGAAATGCAATCCCACTCTTTGTTTGGTTACGATTTGAAATTTCTTTACTTCTTTGTGCTGGGTCTGCAAGAGATGATCAAATTAGTTCCTATTGATTTTCAAAATAGGCCAGATTGGTACAAGGAAAAAGTCTACCCACCAAATAAGGTTACATTCTCAACCATAATTAATTGTTCGGAAAATACTGTTTGGTAATTTCTGTGTTCCTCGTTCTCTTCTTAAAATTGCAGAAATTTATATCTATCAAATGAGGAAAAAATCACAAAATCTGTTGAGAGCCCTCTTGTTTCATGGATTATGATATTTGTGGATTCTTTTCTTTTTTCCTTTTCAAAATTAGTAGGTGCCATCACTGGAGCACAATAATGAAATTCGAGGAGTGAGTCTTGATTTGCTAAAATATATTGATAGCTACTTTGAAGGACCAGCTCTTTACCCTGATGTAAGTAGATTTTTCACTCTTGACATAAAATTCAACTCTCTATCGCTTCAAAAATTTGAATTCTAGAGCGTATCAAATGTCTGTAGGATCCCACCAAGAGAGAATTTGCTGAGGAGTTGCTATCCTACACAAACACCTTTAATCTGGCTGTGATCACTTCACTGAAGGAAGGATCTGAAAATGAAATCAGTAAGATTCAAGACGTGCTATGTTTTTTTTTTTTTGAAGTACTACGATCTAGATAGAAATTTAACATTTTATATGAATCATAATGTGACCCGCTCTAATAAACCTTGACAGGTACTGCTTTTGATTACCTCGAATCAGCTCTCTTCAAATTTACTGATGGACCTTTCTTCCTTGGTTAGTTCAGTCTAGTAAGTTAGTTGCAATCTACTAATTTGATATTGGTTTTCCATCTTTACTGTTCTTATATTTAAAATTATTATGTATTACTTGAACTACAAATGCAGTTGTGTTATGCATTGTAGTCAAAGAAGTGCGAACTAATATATACTTTCCAAGAAGTTGGTGAATATATAGTCAATTTGTAAATTGTAATGGAACCCCTAATCTGTGTCAAAATTTCTATGTTGCAGGTCGACATAGCATATGCTCCATTCATAGAAAGATTTTATCCCTTATTGCTGGATGTAAAGAAATATGACATCACTACAGGATGAAATATTTTATCAATCCCTAATCTTTTTTATTTTTTTTATGTCGTTATGATTTACCTTTTAATCATGATGAATGGATAAAACTGTTTCCCATTCATCCCCGAGGCATAGCCAATCTTTTTTATTAGTAACTTCTATGCTAAAACATGATTTTTGGATATATGTTAGTTTGTGGTTAATGTTAAAACATGATTTTTGGATTTTGGAAATGTTATTTTGTGGGTAATGGTGATTGGATATTAATTGAATGAGATACTGAATTAATGTTTCATTATTTGAATGGAGTTATTATTTTATATGTTAGTTTTATTACAGGTATTTAAATGAGAGTTAATATTTTATATTTTAGTTTTATTAGAGGCATTTTTTAAATTCAATCAAATAAAATTAGCACAATTTCCACAAAAAAAAAAAAAAAAAAAAGAGGGAAAGGGATATGACGGCGTTTTTACAAATGCCTCCTAAAACCTAAATACTAACGGTTGTATTTTTTTAAACAGATATCACGGCGTTTTCAAAACGTCGCTAAACATTATTGGTGACGTCAGCGTGCGTATAGTAGGACATTTTGCGGCGTTTTTAGAAACGCCGCCTATTCTAATATCGTGACGTTTTTAAAACGTCGTAAAGATACAGCGACGGCCGCAGCTTCGACGTTTGGTACTAAACGTCGCAAAAGGAATTAGCGGCGTTTTTAAAAGATATAGCGGCATTTTTTAAACGCCACTAAAAGTCTAATTTCCAGCAGTGTATGCATCACTAATCTGCTAAACCCTAAGCAATGTTTCCATGGTCAACTTTTATTGTTTGATAAAATTTTCATTTAGCATAACCTTAAACTAGATAGTTTTCTATTTCTATTGGCATTCAGGTGCATGTTTGACTATGATCTTTCAAAAAGTTTACAGTAGTGATTAGACTTTCACTAGATCATCACAATTCACAACTTACAGTAGATGTTAGTCCATTGTAAGGCAAACAGTAGATTTAAATCCTAAATCTGTGAAGTATTGAATTTCCTGTTAAACCAGAAAACAATCAAAACAAAAACATAGAACAAATAGATACAAGCATTTAGGAACAACATAAATAATGGGATATCAGTCTCCAAGATGCAGAATTTTAGAGAGAGAGAGAGAGAGACCTAGGGCTTGCAAATTCATAGAGCCTCCCAGTACTGGAGATGACAATCACTCCAACTTCGACATCACAAAGAATTGATAGTTCCTTGGCTTTCTTAAGCAATCCATTTCTGCGCTTTGAGAAAGTCACTTGCCTGCTCGTTGAATTATCAATTCTTCTGATGACAATTTTTCCTCTTCCCATCTCTTCTTATTGAATTATCCTAGGGTTTTGTCTCTGGTTTACTCTGCCAGATCCAAACATACATCTTATAAAGTGCCCAAAACTTATTATTGATGAAAATTAGATGAAATGTTGTATAACAATCAGCTACAAATATGGACCATGTTGAACTTAATAATGTATAGAGAGAGAAATAGAGAGAGAGAGTGTACTGGTTATCAGTTTTTGACGGATGGCGGCAGCGGATGCATTTCTTGCTTTATAAGGAATGCCAAAAGCTGATTAGAAGTAAGAAGACCTGTTCTTTGGGAAACATGGAGCAGTTCTTTAGTTTGCACCCAAAAAACATTTGATGGTTTTCAGATGTGGAGATGTGATGTAGAAAGTTAGGCATACCTTCGCGAGTACATGAACATCAGGTAATCGCCTCACAAAGAATACAAAAAACAAATATCAATAATTCTAGACTGACCACAAATTTCTTTTCACATTTTGTTTTCCACCTCACGTTTCACAACTGCATTGGAAACATACTTCCATCACTCATGTATGTTTGCAATGCAGCTGTAATAGATGAGATGTTTGTTTGCAATGAAGTTGTAACACATGAGATGGTAAAACCTAATATGGTAAAAAATTGTGGTCATTATAGTATTATTAAACAAATAAAGTCATGAGAAGAGGGATGCTATACATCATTTTAGGAGTATTTCACCGAACCTTTTCACCTCTCATGTGGCTTGTCATGTGGTATAATAGATTCTATTATTTTTTTGAATATAGTGAGTCTTGCATATTGATGCATATTGGTGAATCAATAATGCTAGGATGACCATGTATTCTTATCATGTTGTGTTTACCACCCTATGTGTCAATAATATATTGCTTTAATGAGTCCCACCTCTCATGACCCATTAAACCAATATAGTATTCATCAACATATAAGGTGGTAAACACAACATGGTAAGAGTATATGGTCATCCTATCATTATTGTTGGTGAATTATTTAATAAATTACATAGAATGTTTCTCTAGATCAAGCTGTTTGTGGTTGTTATTGTTATTTATGTTCATTCCATACACACTTTTGTGCATCACTAATATACATTACATTTGTTGCGTGGATCCATGTACAAGGTGAAAAAAGAAAAACAGTGAAATGACATGTTTTTTAATGAGAAAGGTCATCTTTTACCACCTATGTGTACTCTCTTCAATTCTCAAGAGTAGTGGTATGATGACCAATGCACATTCTTCACTAACATGTAAAGGCCTAATTATGTTCATTTGAAAATTCTGACTACATACAAAATGCTTTTAACTACAAAGACTACTTCTAACAGTACTCAACAAGATCAATAAAACACAAATTGGTGTTGAACTTTTGTGCATACTGCATATAACAACTAGCTTCAGAATTAAATTCTCTAGTACAGGAACAATGGAAAATATTGTTGTCAGTCAAGTGCATCTTTTGATGCTTTGGCAATACTTCACAGCAAATGCTATGTACCATGAATTTGTGCCCTGAAATCTATCCCAAAAATGAGGTGGATGGTGTAAATTTAAAGTTGGTGGGATGTGGGTCACACTTAGAATGATTGTGGTCCATAGATGTACTTTTCTATATAGTATTATTGATAATTCATTCTAAAGATTTCGAGATTCAGTATAGAAGACCCACATGTTGGGGGAATATCATGGGTTTTGAGGACTAACAAGCTGACGTAGTGAATATAGGTGAAGCTCACACAAGCAACTTAGAGACTAATGTCAGATGAGGGAAGAGAGAGTGTAGCTTTCATTCACGAAAGGAAGTGAGGTAAGCTAACCCCGGACTATTAGAACAACAGATACTATGGGTGACTTTTATTACTATTATTATATAAACAATCAAAACTTTGATACAAGATCCATCCTATGGGTCATTGGCACGTTGAGAACAGACACTTGGGTGTGTTTTTACTTTACTTTTGGCTCTTTGTTTTGGAATCTTGAGAGAGCTTGTGCATAAATTTCATTCTAATTTTGACAATAATTATATAATAACATTAGTATATTCATAGTTATGTCCATGTACTGTAACTGTAGGGCAGCTTACATGCCTGTCAATTATGAAATGTTTAGTATTTAGCTAGCGTGCAAAGTCCAGAGAAGCCTTTGTGGGGGTGTTCCTATGTGGATCGTTCTCTACCTTGTCCCCTTTATGCAACAATTAATGGTAAAACACTAGAGGGGTTGCAAACTTGCAAGTTTGTCAAGCGTTTTATGATAGTTTACATGTGGGGACAAAAAAGTACCCCAAAATTGAAATGTGCATACTTGATTTATTCTAGGCATGGTCTACATTGCACCAAGTTTGAATCTACATCATACACTTCATTTTTGGAGTATATTTGTCACGCCCCCGAAATAATACCATTAATCCAACTCATAAGCAGAAGGATAACAGATGTAAGGTACTTTCATTCATCTGAGTTCGTTTACAAAAGTTAACACATGCATTATACATTTACAAATGTTCATCTTGAATCTACAGCATGCGTTGCAGTGATGAAGGAATTGAAACTAAATAAACAGTCATATGCCTTACAGGCTTACATCTTTCCGAGTCATTACTTGGTTACACAAAAGTGAGCTCAATACAATTTAAGCCCTTGGCTATACAAAGAATATAACAGGAAAAAAAAAAAAGAAAAAAAAAAAGGAAGCTCTTGCTCCCAAAATCCCTCAAAGCTATTGCCCTGGTAGAGGCAGGTTACCCGCACCTGAAAATGGTTTTTCCCAAATAGGGTGAGCCAAAGTCTAGTAGAAATAATCTAACACAGTATATGAGATTTAACGAAGATATAAGTACAATGTGTATATACAATGCCGGTGACAAAATCTCCATCATTTATATAACCGAAAGACGCCAAGGTTTATATCTCAATTCATTTTATTTCAATTCATTTCAAGTTCATTCAGTATTCTCAATTCATGAGTCAATTTTATCATTTTCAATAACCCAACTGAGATTACAACTCAGTGGCTTTCCAGTTTAATGCACTATTACACAAACACTTCAAATCTGCCATTTTATGAAAATTTCGTCTGCGGGATCGGCACCCATGTGGACACAAGATTTCGGAACTTTCACCCTGAACACTCCGGCCAACTTAATTTTAATGGAGTCCATCTCCTATCTCCTCACAAACAATAGAGTACATCTACTTTCTCCTCCCAAATTATCATACATATACAATGTATATAAATCATAGTCATATTCAATGACAACCAACAATAGATTAGTTTCAATTTACCTAATCTTCATGCAATTTATAATACAGATATTTCTAAACAGATATAAAATTTTCTCAACAGATACGTTATTCAAATTTCTATGGGTGAGAGACAACACGTGTCCAACTCCACCATTTACATCAATAATCATCCAATTTACATTACCATTATCAATTTCAATTATTCATACAAAATAACAATTTAATCCAATTAGGGCAAAACTTCCCATTTCCCAAATATCAACCCTAAGTACCAAAATCAACAATTTTGACACAATATAACCTCATATTCAAACTCTATATCCACTTATTTCACATTCACCGAAAACCTCTCTTTTTATTTCATCCCCAAACCCTAGATTTGTTCAAACTACTCTTAAATCCCACTATTGTTACACAATGACAAATAGCTAAGCTAAAAATCCTATGAAAGTGTAGAAAATCCCTACCTCAAAGAGAGAAGACGAGCTAAGCAAGAGTGAAAATTCAAAGATGCCGAAATCCAACTCTATTCGGATCAAAATGGAGATCTTGAGATGGTCTAACTTTTTATCAAAGGGATTAGGGTGAAGAAATCACTAAAACTAAGTGAAAATGTATAGAGAAAGAGAGAGAGAGAGGAGTGTTTTGGAGAGAGAGAGTCTCAACTTTAGGTTTTAGGGAGA